CCTGAAGGGCCACCTCCTGATCACCTGCCCAAGCAGCCCTTTGATGACTCAGCCAGAAATTATAACCGGCAATTGCCGAAAGAATCCCCAGCAGGAAAGAGGCCGCCAAGCTGCCAAGACCTGGGCCTCTGCAGTGTGAGGGGCAGCCAAGCCCCCACCAGTTCGTGTCCGAGCCGTGCTGCAAAATTCCTAGCAAAGCCTGCAAAAGGGAGAGGGCCATGAAACCCCAAAACCCTGCTGTAAAAGTTCTTGAGCACGAAACCACAGTTCAAGATTCAGCTCTATCGGTCAGTAATGTTGCTGCTTCGGCTTCCACTGAGACACCGCTCGAAGACTAGAAGTGACGGCACGGCACGGCACGGCAAGGAGTCCAATGCCGATGGAGTCTTCCAAGATCGCACCGATCTGAGGCCTGGACACCTGCATCAACCGCTGCCTCTCCGCCTCGAGATCCTTCCAGGGCTTCCAAGCCAAGCGGTCTGGCACGAGGATGGGACTTGCAGACAGAAAAAATCCAAAACTTTTCGCCTGAATGGCAACAGTCTTGTTATGAGGTTCCCATTAGAAGGTACCCGTGCCAAACGTTCTAAACGGCGATCCGAATAAGTGCAACGCACTTGCCCAGTCCGAGGAAGGCTGCTCCCCCGCGTTGATGATGAGCTCCTGAACATGTCTTGTTAATGTTGGGATCCTTTTGGGGGTCCTGGTGTGAAGACTTCGATTGTTCTGGTTCTGTATTCAGTCTGCCTCTATTGCTATTTTGGGATGTGACCGGGTGATGAAATCCACCAACCAGGCCTCTGCAGCAAGGATGCGTGCCGTGTCTTTGCCAGCATCCTGCAGAAAGAAGCTGGTGAGTTAATTGGCAGCCGCACGGAAGCCGGCCTGCCGCTCGAGTAGTCCCAGCAAATACGGGGCCAATGGATTTGACCTGAATAGACCAGACGGGAAACAGGGAGAGATGTGGAGGCCTGCTGGATTCTTTCCAAGGCACTTCGAGCTGATTCTCTGGGATTCTTGCAAAACCTTGATGCTCCAGCCATTGAGCATTTGGTCTGCTGCCCCATCCGCCCCGTCTCACACCCTTTGCCTCTTTCGCTTCGTGCAGCCGTCGCCAGTGGATCAAGAAGTACCTCAACGACGGCAGTGACCAAGCAGCCGCGTTTACCAGCGCCAGCTGCCGCCACTTAGCTCCCAACCCCAGACGACCGAGCGCGTGGGCTGCTAGGACATTCCGTCGTGTTTGTCGAGCGAAGCGACTCGCCTCGTGCGCCACTCAACCGCGACATCGGCTACTGATGTGTCAGACAATGCACTCTGGAGTGAAACTGCCTCCCGATAGCGCCATTCAGCGGCAGTCGCATGATTACGCTCTGCCAACCACTTGGCATGATAGTAGAGGCGCAATGCCTGAGGGGAGGAAGCCAAGCTCATAACTTGTAACACACGACAGTCCTCCAAAGTCGTCCAAGGGCAGTGCATGCTCTGCCAGCTTGACACGCTGGTGCTGCTGCGGAGCTGCTTGAACAGCTGATGCAAGCAGGTCCTCCAAACTCGCATCGGTGCTGCAAGGAGCTGTGACAGCCTGGGGTTCGGAGCCTCTGCTCTCAACATCTGCCGTGGAACTCCGGCACGGGAGCCCTTCCAGTCCGAAGCCTCACATTTCGCCGCTCCCGATCGGTTCGACATCCGCTGTCAGAGCTCCACACCCACGGACCAGCAGCAGACTCAGAAGCCAGGCAGGCTCTTTTGCTATAGTATACACCTAAGGGAACGTTCGTGAAGCCCGTACATCACATGCCATGCATGATTTTGAGCATGCGGCCCCAGGCGAACTGTGCCTCGCCCGAGGCTTCGGATGTCTTTAAAGACATTTTAAAACCACGTGGCAGAAGAGTGCGGAAAATTCTGCTGGGCCTCCCATCCGTCAGACTCTGGGAGTGTAGGCGGCGGAACACTCGCATCACTGGAACTGGCTGATGTCCTAACGTCGCAGCAGGGTGCTGGCCCTGGCAAAAGCAGAGTCATCCGAGACTGGTACGCCGCAGGTCCTGCACAGACACTTACAAAGACAAATACTCCACTCGTCGGACTTTGCTGAGTGAAGACCTGGTGCCAAAGGGCTTTCACCAGTTTCTGGCTTGGCATCGACGCTCTCCGCACGAGGCCTGGATTGGGCCACGACGCAAGCTTGCGCTTGTTTTCATGTTCATGGTTCCTGCAGCGTCGGACCTCGCCACCGGCACTTTCGGTGCGCCAGACTGGGCCCATGCCTTAGCCAGCATCCCCTCACCACCGGCTGTTCAATAGCTTCCCGGCAGCTCTGAAATGTCCAGAGATGGCGATGGCGATGCCCAGACTCTGTACGTCGTAAGGCTCTTGCACCGTCAGCCCCTCGGCTCGGATCGGGCACCTAGCAAGCACACATCCAATAATCTGGAGGACTTCTGATCGCACTGCGGGGCTTGCACCGCAGATGTTGGGCCACCGAAACCTGGCAAGGGCCAAGACCAGGCTTGTCTGACGTATGCAGTTCACCGGTCTGCGAGCCATCCCCCGCCCCTTCCTGGCGCATGATTGTACACTTGTCTACCTTGCTTTCGTCCCAGTATGCCTCCCGTGGCTCTGACTGCCGTGCAAGAAGCACAGGCCTTGGATGACTGCATCTGTTGCTCTTGCTGCGACGGAGCCCAACTATTGCTACCAATTTTCCTTGCCGCTGCCGATTTCGACAGCTTTGACTCTGACTCATTACTGTGGAGGGCGGAGCGGAGCTCCTCGACTCGGCACAAGTCTACCACTTCAGCTCGGGGGATGTCGCAAGCGAAGACCCCGCTCTAATCCCGAAGAAGCTTCAGCTCACGGCGGACATCTTCCAGCTCTTCTGACAGGCACGCATGTGCCCGTTCGGACTTTTCTGCGTCCTGGATCGCCAGTGCGTCGAACCTTTGCTTGGTGGAAGCGTCCAGCGCTTCCCACCGTTTCTGGCAGGCTTCCCGGAAAAATCCTGGGAGCTTCTCGCGCAAACCATAAAAGAGGGCCGTCACCCCGCCCTCTTGGAGCACGGCCTGCTCGACGAGTTGCTGCTGGTCGTGTTCTGAAAGTTGATGGCGCCAGAAGACAATCGAAGGCCGCGGTGCAGGGACCATTGAAAGGCGCTCACGCAGGCCGACGGCCCGCCGTTCGAGAGTGTGCCGTCGCTCCTCCAGCACCTTCTGCCTCAGCCTTTCTGGCATGTCTTCCCAGACACCTGCATCTCCCGGACCGGCCTTGGCAATCACTGGTGCCAAGCAATCCCAGAGCCCTGTACATGAAAATCTCTTGGCGAGCTCAAGCACTTCCGGGAGCTCAGCTGTGCTAAGCATCTTGGAAAGGTGCTGGGAGCATCTTCGGACCAGCCCTGATAGCTCGAAGCGATCGGCTGCCATCAACAGGTCCATGCTTTCGGACATATCCAGACTCGATACTGAATCTGTGTAACACCAGTGCAATATGTGATCCAGAACAGCTCTAGGTATGTCCTGCAAATGAACGTGTCGCTTGCCATCCAAAAGCTGACCTTCCAACATGCAAGAAGCCAGCATGCTTCTAAACACTGGCGAGCGTGCCGCCAGGATGACACTGTTTGCTTCGTGGCGATGATCGCCAGCAGTAATCACAACATCTGAAAACTCGTTTGCCGATCCCAAGCGTGAGATGTCTGCGAGGAGGCTACCCGCCATGGCCGCATGCTTAAGCTCTGACCTGAGCCCTCCCGACACGCCGAGGAATGTGCCAATCCGTCTGATTCCTGGCATTCGTGGACTCAGGGCGGAGCCAAGCAAACAGCCAGGATCGATCGGCAGGTCATTTCTCCTCAAGCAGCGATTGAGCCACACACAGCACACGAACTTGAGACTCACAGAAACACAAGGCGCCGGCCTGCGCAGTCCCACGCCGCCTCAGTCGAAACGAAACGAATCGTTCTTGCAGCCTTCCATGCCGCAACAACTGTCTACGTCTCCGCTGAGCACACACAGCACGGCACTGCTCCTCAAAACATGTGATATGAAACATCTTCTTGTTATTCCATCTTCATCTTCTGAGATTGTATTCCGTATTTGTTGCTTCTATGTTAATAATCATGCTCATGCCTATGCTTATGTTCAGGTCCATGCTTCAAGTGGGTCAAGGCATATGCACATGCATGCACCGATGCTGTAATTTTGTCTTCGTCGCGAGACACAGTAAAATTGTCTACTCCGGAAGCTGTTCAAGCCAGGCCAAGCCCTCTTCCGTCGTCCGACGCGGATGGTACTCCAAGCCGACGTGTCCGGTGTAGGCCTGTGTTGTGCAGCCATGCAAGGTCTTCTCAATTCCGCAGCAAAGCAAACCCCTGCCAACAAAACCCGGTATCATCGCAGCTTGGGTGCCAGCTCGCCCCGAAGAACGCGGTGCAGAAGGTGCGGAAAGTTTATCTCCTGCCTTCGGGGTGTGATTGCAAAACAGACCGAAACCCAAGATGCCAAAACGACATGTGCGAAAAAAACACTTGTGCTAGACGAAAAACACGGCAGCACATGTTTCGCCAAACTTGACCGGGAGACGGCGCTTCTTCCGGCATCCGTGTGCAAACAGGAAAGAGATGTGTGGAGGGATCTAAACTGGACGAGGCTCAAGGGGCCTAAGCTGCGGGGCTTCTTACTGCTAGTATTTTGTAAGTTGGTGCCTGTCATCTGGCTCAGCTCTGTCTGGAACTCCTGCAATTTGAACGTGGCCGATGAGGTCCTTAACCAAGACGGCAGGACACAGGGAGCTGCCAAAAAGAAACGACCATCTTCCTCTCAAGTTCCAAGCACAAACTTCCACTGACACCGCTTGGGGCGTGGAAATGGTAAGTGTTCAGCTCTCATCTTCTCATCTGCCAGAACATTCATGGGTGGGGTCACCACCCTGGTACTACTACCACAAAAAGCGAGAAGCAGAAGTCCCTTCGGCCCGAGGATGACCAAGAAACCAACTTAAGAGTATTTAGTGGTGATTCTGACAATCCATTGCTCGTAAGTCTGCCCTGTTGGTGCTGCGTTGTTGTGGCTTTGGCTAGCTCCCAGCATGTTCTGTGAAAGTTGCAACGAGCGCGCAACCCAAGGCGCCCCATACTTGCGGAGGTTCGTGGTCAGGTCGCCTTACTGTTTTCTGGATGCGGCTCTGGGAATGTAACATGTGAAGTTGCTGTTGATGTCAAGCTGCCGTGCATGATCTGACAGTGGAAGACATCGAAGAGGAGCTTCAGGCCACCGGCCGCGCTACTTCGCCCGCCCCGCAGCTTTGGCGGTAGGTTTGCAGAAACGCTGCGAATTGTGGCAGCAGCATGCGGCAGAGAGCTCAGATGGTAGCCAGGCCTCGGCTTTGAAATCTTCCCCTGGCAGAAGTTCGAGATCTGCGATATGGACTAAGCCACTAAGTAGCATGCTGCGCTGGTTGATGGGCTCGATGAGCACCTTTCGGTCACTTCGGACTCCGCACTAGCATTACAAGCCGAGGGGCACATGGAGGCTCCTGGCCTCAACGCCGGTGGTGCCGAGGACACGGACTGCACGTTCCAGGTTTTGCTGGTAGATCTCGTCGCTCGTCTTCTCCGAGCCCAAGCCCGCCAAGCAGTGAACCCGTGGACACCGGAGCCTGTGAGGGTGGTCAGTACATACGTTAAACCCGGGAACCCCCAAGCCCTCCTTTTTGGGGTGTCTACGCCTCGCCGCGTAGTCCACGGTGATGCTCAGGGAACGCTCGAAGTCCTCTCGCGAAGCTCCCGCCGCCAGGCCACGCTCCCCGGCCGTCCAGTCCCCGGCCTGAGGTTGGGATCAGCGAACCGCAGAAGAGGTTCGGTTCACAAACAACAACCGTCGCACTCTGAGCTCTGACGCCAAAATCGGACGACTCTCTTTTTCGTCGTGTGGATGTGTAGCGCTGAAAGCGCCGTACGGCGTGCAGGTTGAGGTCCTACAGCCGGCGCCGGGTGCGCAGTTCAGCACGGGCCCGCTGCGGACTGACCGCCGCCGCAACCCAACAAGGGTGGCGAGGGTGGGTGAAAAAGCTAAAGGCGAAAGTTCGCGTCGAGCCAGAGCACTGCAGGCAGCTACGCCGTTCACGGTTGTTATTTCGCACACACGTGTGCTACACAACAACCGTCGCACTCTGAGCTCTGACGCCAAAATCGGACGACTCTCCTTTTCGTCGTGTGGATGTGTAGCGCTGAAAGCGCCGTACGGCGTGCAGGTTCAGGTCCTACAGCCGGCGCCCTGGGCAGCGCGCCGGTGGCCTCCATCTCCCGCAGCTGGCCCAGGGAGTCATAGGCGAAGCGCCGAAGGTGTGGTGGCACCGCCGTATCCTCAGCTGAGGCGCCGGCCCTCTCCATCCGGTGTTTGTACTCGAAGTACGCCGGTGGGATGTGGCCAATTTCCTCCACCGTCTGCCAAGGGGTGCCGCTGGCGCCGCTCATGGGCCGATGCCTCTCTGCGCCGCCTCTCTGCCCGCATGGCCGCCGTTGGTACAGAGGACCGTCGGGCGGCTTGCGTCGGCTGGCCTGGCGGGCGGGAAGCTGGCAGTCGCCGCTGCCGAGGGCTGTTCCCAGGGGACGTCGCCCCAGTTGGCCTGGGCGGGGGCCGCATCCGTCGCGGAGGCCACACGCCGATGCTGAGGCCTCATTGATCCAGCGGCTCGCCGACGCCGAGGGTGCAGCAGGGCCCTTCTCGGCTGGCGTCGGGTGAACCTCCGCCGCAGAAGCCGCGGCTGCCATGTGACTCGCCGAAGTGCTCAGAGGTGGTCCGTCGAAGGGGTTGGGCTCCAGGTGCTCGGCCGGCACGGTGACCGTCGCCGCAATCCCCAGCCCCGGATGGATAGGCGCCGGAGTGGCGTCGCCGTCTCTGGCGGGATCAATGACCAACGCCGTGGGAGGCACCAGCGGCGTCGGAGGAGCTTTGTGGCGGGCGCCATCCGTCGGGGACGCCGCCCCAGAGGCCATCGCCGATTGGTCTTCCATAGCGTCGAGGCCAGTAAAGAATGGGCGTCGACCAGCAGGCGTCGAGGAGGGGCCAGGGCGGGCCTGCTCCGCCTGAAAATTCAACGCCGCAAAGATCTCCCTGGCGTTGGGGGGCCCCCGCGGCGCCGAGCGCGCCGGTGTCACCGCCCCGGAGGATGGCATCGAGGTAAGCGCCGCCACCTGCCATGTATCGGCCCTGGATGCCAGCAGCGACGCCGCTTTGGCCTTGGTGGCGACATCGATGAAGTAGTCCGGCGGCGCCGGAGTCGCCGCCCCCGATGCTGGCACGGAGGGTGGCGCCGATGGCAGTGGGGCCAGCTCCTCAGGAGGCGTCGCCTTCACGATCGCCGGCGTCGATCTGCCCGCCCACGGGCGGGGACCCGACTCCCGTCGTGCCAACCACCACAGGCTGAGCCATGACCACCTCGTCGTCGGCATCCTCGTCGCCTTCCGGGATGGGCGTCGGCACAAAGGGCAGACTATACCCGTGCCGCCGGTGCCCCCCGCTTCATCCGCCGCAACCTCCGCCGCGGCCTCCACCGTCGAACCCTGGACCATGCCCACCATCATCTGACTCGCCGCGTGCCCGGCGTCGATGAGGTCCGTCATCTGGTCCGTCGTGAGCAGACCGATGACAGGGACACATCCTGTGCGCCGGGCCGCCGTGAGGGCGTCAGCCAACATCTGAGCCGCCGTCGTCGGAGGAAGGGACATGACCGCCGAGGGCACAGGAGGATCTAGCTGAAAAAGCTAAAGGCGAAAGTTCGCGTCGAGCCAGAGCGCTGAAGGCAGCTACGCCGTTCACGGTTGTTATTTCGCACACACGTGTGCTACACCGCAAAAAAGCAGTGTTGGGGCCAAAAGACGAAAGGCCCCTGAAGTGCCACAACTGGATGTTTGGCCCGTGGGAGCTGTCCATACCTCTCTTTCCCTCTCACTGGCACCAGGTATTAAACTCCACTTACTGGGCCATATATGAGTTCCGGAGGCAGCATCGATACTGTAGTGACACCTAGCTTGCAACCACGCTCCAGGCAAACTATAGTCTCACTTGTTAGAAACTAGAACTATTCATGATCCGTCGATGTAGGATAACTTAGCGTGATACTTCTTCTGCTCCAGCCAGCCATTACAGAGGCCTCCTTAACCACAGCGCCAAGGCACAAGGCTCTACCCCGTGCATTGCAGCAGGGGTTTGCAGGGTTTGGATCTATGCAGCATGTCGGACTTAAACAGACCTCAATGCTTCCGCTTTGATGGTCAAAGTGAGGCAAACACGAGATGGATACGAATGAGCACAAATTGAGCTGAAGTCAGTCTTACAGCCATTCGCCCCGTATATGACCACAGACAGAACATCATTGCAAGCAGCCGGCCGGCATGTTGAATAGAACACACTGGAGGCCTTCCTCCTGCAGTGCACTTGCCACCTCGGGGTCCAAAGACGTTTGCCACACTTATGCCTTTCGGGAGTGATCCCATGACCTGTGTACCGACCTGGTCTGGGCGGTGGCTGAAGAGCTCTGGCGTTGAAATCTCGACGGCAGTGAATCCCGCAGCCCGCGCCCGTTTGAGGCGATCCAGGAAAGGCACCTCCTGCGTGAGGCCAGAACACTCGGAAGCCTAGGCTGGAAATTGTTCAATGACAAGGGTATGTACCGCTAAAGTCGAGTCTACAGAGTACTTCCGGCATAAGTCCTGGAAGAGCATCGCCAAATTGGCAGAGAAGCCACGCCGAGAAGCAGCCATGTTGCTGCTCTGACGTTTATTGGATCACACAAGCTCCGGCTGGCATCAGAGCATGCTGCAGGATGGTGCTGAAGGCTCAAGTGCAATGGACATGCAAGACTTCAAAACACCTGGTGGTTGTTTGCCCCGCACATGCTGCACGAGCTGTTCGTTGGCATACCGTGAGGCAGCAATGCAGGACCCTGCACGACGATCGTAACCAAGCGGGACAGTCGAAGGCTGAGGCTGAAGCCCGAGATGTCAAAGGGGTAAGATGGAAAACCGATGAACTGCTCGCAGCACTCTGCCTGATCTTGTCAGACAGGCGACATGTCTCTCATGGCTTGTCTGACCCAGTTTCGGCCAAAGCCACCTGGCCGCTAGTCCTCGGCCGGCGAGTGTTGCTCGCTTGCTTTCTAGTTGATGAGGTACCTGTCAGTGAAGTTGCGAAGTTTTTGGATCTCTCGAAAACATCCGCGGGCTGATCGTGCGCACCACGTGAATTAGTCGCTCTCGGAAAGGACCTTGGCTGCCACGGATCGAGATCTTTGTCCACACCTCCGGACTAAACAAACGTCTCACTTGAGCACCTGAGGTTGCGGCTATGGAGGGTTAGCTACAAGAGCGAATGGGGTGTGCGGCTCAAGGGCAGGCGCCACACACTCAGCATCGGAATCCGAAGCCCAAACACGCCAACCACAACAATGGGACGTGACTCGAAGATGCCAGAGCATTGCGAAGTTTTGCTGCTGCACATTTCACATGTGGAACTGCTGTTTTACCCTGAACCGAAGCCAGCTTCTCTGTTGCAAACTCCTGCGTCAAGTCGCATCCGCCATTTGGCAACAGAGGCGGTCCTTGATCGCCGATCCTCTGTCGCCATCCATCCAATCCTAACACTACTAATTCACGACCAGGTGCACGTTCCCGAGTGCTCCAGGCGTCCACGTGGTCGCTGGGAGACTGTGCGGCAGAAGATGTAGGCAAGTATTTGGAAGTCACCAGTATCAGTGCGAGTACGGCATTTACGGTGCAAGGCTGAAGAAACCGGTGCTGAAGCTCGCAGTACTTCACCACCGAAGGCCGCACGAAGCCCAAATCATGCATATATATCCTCATTTAAATACTTCGTGTCTGCCTAAAGGGCATCACATGTTGAAAGCTTGCAGGAGCTGGCCTCTGGGAGGTTTGGCCGGGACTATGACAGGAAGTGAATACATGCTTTCGCCGAATGCAAACCTGCCAGAAGGGTCGTAAGGAGCTTCCCTGGTTCTTTCACCAGGAACTCTGTGCAGTTGAGGTAAAGCCGCAGAACGGAAGAGCTGTCACATGAGCAGCCCGGAAGTGGCGTTATCAAAGGCTCACGGTGCTAGTATCGAAACGACTCTCGCTTCAGCTCTGCCTAGTGTCTTGCATGTAGTGCGACGATAACCAGACTGTCAACTGCTCTGATGTAGTCGGCAGCACGACATGCAGGACCGGCGCTGCTGCGAGGTGGCGCCGAGGAGTGAAACATGGCACGCGCCCCTCGCAAACCACAGCTAAAGATGCGAAGAAAAAACAGCAACTCGAAAAACAACAACAACTCCATCCCCGCTTCCACCTATGAAAGCTGCAAAACACACAGAGCCCTGTACGGGGCCGCTCTGCAGCTCCAGCCGCTGAGCTCACGTGCTCAAGAGGGGCAACAGCACAGCCAAGCAAGAAAGATGCAAATGGAAGAAACACAACCAACATAGTTTTTACGAATAACCCATTCGTCTGACAACCACATTGCGATGAACCGGGTGATGCCTGACGACATGGCTGGTGCGTTACTCTAGCCTCTTGCGGCACATCAGATGAAGTCAAGTCAGCGCAGCGGACCTGTCCTGATATGGCCTGCGCCGCAAGCTCCAGAATTCTACATCAGCCCCCTGCTAGGTCATTGTACCTCAGGTGCAGGCACATAGACCACCGCGAAAGTTACACCTGAAATCGCGTGGGTATGGGTTCGCCAGGTTGGATACGAGAAGCCGACAAGCCCCAAACCAGCAAGAAGCAACACATGACTCTTTTCCGCCAGGCATGAAGAAGTTCGGGGCAGAAGATCTACAAAATCCCATTGCTTCGGTAAAGGGCCGCGGTTGGATGCAAACCCGTGCTTGCCTGTGTCTCTCAGAATGAGGCTAGATTTCTTGCTGTTGTCTCAAGAAAAGCAAACACTATGGCATCCTCACGAGCAAACACAACCTTCCTGCTCAGCACACAGGTTCCAAGCACCACATTCCCGCCAGGGCTAAAAATCCACTGGCAAAGCAGCAAAGTGAGTAGCTGAGCAAAGGCGGCCCTTCAAGAGCCAGAGCCAAGATTCAGATTCACGTTCACCGCCGGCTGCACAGCCAACTCAGAAGGAAGTATGCGATCGGTCCACTGAGCTCCACACAGCGGCCGTGTATCCCGAGCATCCGGCGAAAGGTGGAACGGGATGCTCTCGGTAGACGTCTGGCATCGAGGCATCGTTAATGACCTCGGCTTCGAGGCGGGCCCGCTTCCTTCCCCGTCTCTCTTGCTCTCTCAGCGTCGAGCGCCGAAGTTCACGTTGGCGGGGTGGCTCGGAGGACCCAAAGGCCCCTCGGAGAAGACCTGCGCTGCGCGGATCCCTTCTTCGACGCCCCAATCGCTCTGCTCTGCCCTCCTCCCTGGGCCTGCAAGTTTCCCAATCCTTCTGGGCGTAGAAGAACTCGCAAGGCTGGATCGAAGGACCTCGTAGCTGACAGGCAGGGACACTCAGGGCAGAGAGGGAAGCTTGAAAAAAAGGCCGAGGGGCCCACACTGACATACCATAAGCACGCTTGCTCATCAAGTCTCTCATGCGCCCTGCGAGGCAGTGGGATCGGCGCATTCGTCCTTCTGCATTCTTCCTTTGCTTCTTGCACGATTGCGTTCGCTAATGTTCGCTAGGGGTCTGTTACTCAGTCACCGCAATCTGGCAGGCAGCATGATCCGAAAAGATGCATCCATCCCGCGTCAAAGACCCGGAGGCTTGCAGCTCCATGCTTCTGCTCGGATCTCAGACAAGCAAAACAGGCAATGTTGACCGTCCAGACGTATCAGGCAAAAACCAACGAACGACAGCACACTGCATCACTGCCGGACCACATCCGAAGCGAAGGTCGTGATGTCTTTGACTGCAGAAGGTGGAACTGCAACTTTATTGCAAAGTCTCCTTTGACACAAGTTCACATAATATCAAGTCTCCAACAGACCAAGCACCCTCGGCCACGTCCGTCACAGATCCGCTAGCTTTCTCACAGCCATTGTGCATTCGCACTTCACACCTATCGCCTATCGCACCAGCCATACCACATCATCATGTCGAATTGCCGAAGTGCTGGCTGCAACAACCCGAGCTCTGTGCTGGGTCTCTGGCGATCTTCCCACTTCTTTTGCAAAGTCAATCCTTCCTCGCTCTCCTGCACAGTCTACAGCGTGCGAGCATAGACCTTCTGAAGTTAATCGGGAATGCCTCTACGGAGAACTGTAGCTCCCCAAGGCGACGCTCCGTCGCACCCTGAACGTCTTCGGGTCGCAAGAGCATCGAAGCTTCCGCCCTCGCGGCAAGGGCTGCCTCTTCGGAGTCGACCATGCCTTCTGCCCAGACTGGCTGCAGCTTTCGAACCTCAAGCTAAAATGGCCCAGACCTGCCCCGCCCTCCCACCCCTGTTGCATGCGCAGGGCCGCAGGGCCCCGGCAGAGGCCTTGTAAGCCTCTACCGTCTCCTCTAGGATTTCGATCTTCTCCTGGCACGGCATCGGTTCTCTCACTCAAGCAGGACGCAAGGAACTTAACTCCACAGGCTTTGCCTGGATTCGCAGAGGGCCGCCACGCTGAGTCATCTTGTTCATGAGCTTCCTCTGTTGCTCTGTCTCTCTCGCAACTCGCAGTTAGCAGAACTCCTTCACGTTCGGCCAGCCTGATGAGGTCAGCCTGTGCCTGCCGCTCAGCAATGACACGCTGCTGGGCAAAAATCAGGAGCACCTGAAAAACTGAAAACGGTCTCTCCACACGGCTCACAAGAGAGTTAGACAGTTAGACATCCGAGCTTCGGGCATCTTTTCTGATTCGATCCTTCAAAGCCTTTCTCTGGGCATCGCAGGAGCCCTGCCTTTCAGCAACGATTGCGGGCATCGCACGGCAGAGCGAGAAATCCGAGACATCGACTGGCCAGCTGCTCCATCGAAGGCGGCCAGCGATGCCTGGACGTTTGACATTTGACATTTGGCAGTCGTAGGGGTCCTTGCCCAGAAGCACATGGATTCATGGTCAGGTCCCTTACGCGCTGGCCTGCTCAGCACTGTCCGCTGCAATGCCGAAGCCTGGTATCCCGCGGCCCGCGGCCGACGTCTCTGTCCAAACCCGCAAAGCGTCGTCAAACCGGTTCTGCCTCGGCGCTGGCTCCTATGTCTCAGGCGCAATGCTTCAATCTCACCATCACAGGACATCTTCTTGTGGTGAGCTGCCCTGCGGTCAAGGCTTCCGAACAAGTCCCAGAAGCACCTGCTGTGACAGCAGCATCAGCAACAGCACCTCGTTTACGTCCGCATCTGCCAAGTCTTGGGGCCTGCTGCGACGGTGGTGGCTCCTTCCTCACAGAAATCGAACCATTCAGCAATGTCCGGCGACTCAAAGTTGACATAGACCGTTGCAGTCCTTGACTGCCACTTCTGCCCGGGGCCTATAGCAAGAACTACTTTGCTCGGACCCTGGGACAATCAGAGACCGTGGGAACTGGGAACACTGCAGGCGCCAGTTGATGGCCAAACCTCGGGTCTGTGCCGACGCGGCCGCAGCTCATCCCGGCCCTGTTCAGTTCAGTTCTGAGGGCCCTGCCGCAGAGTAACAGGGCGGCGCACCTCCAGGCCCGGCGTCCTTGGGCTGGGAGACGGCTCTCCCTCTTGGCTCCCTGAGGGTCCAATTTCTCCGAGCGGCGCAGTGTCGCCATCGCTTGAAGAAAAGCTAAACTGAAGTATGTGAAGTCATGAAACTCTCGCTGTTACCGGTGCAACGAGATCAATATGGCTGTGACTCCTGGCTGGTCGCCTCTCTGCTCTTGGGAGATACGGCGACACCGATTTACAAGCCCAACGTTAACACAGACAGCACAGCAGGTCAGCAGGATGGCCGGTCACTATACTCGCCACAGTCTCCGAGGACCGGACTCTTCTTCCAGTGCTTGTTTAGCTTAAGCGGCCGCTTGCATGCCCAACATCGGTCTCATGTCCCTGGACACACGGCAGGCAAACGCACCAACAGAGAGCTCCCCCAAGCAGCCACTGAGGAGTGGACATGGGCAGCCTGGGGGAACCCATTGGAGGAGGCATCATGAAGGCCTGGAAGCCTGCCTGGGCAGGCACGAAGCCCCGTGTTCGGCAAAGAGCAGAGCCCGGATGCCCGGCTACCGGCCTGCCCGAGCTTCGGAGACTGCATCGGCGGCGGCGGAGTCGGGTCCAGCACCTGACTGCATCAGCGCTCGGGGACGCACTCGGCAGCTCTGCAGGCTCAATGCTGCCAATGGCACGCCGCCATAAGCCTCGAGATGGAGCTACCGTATCCAGAACGAACACATTCCTACTATGCTCGTGCCGTCTTCTGATAGCTTCATACCAGCAATGGCTCTTAGTAGTTGTGCATAGTGGCATAAGCAGCATAATGATTGCAACACTGATGCGACCGCTGGCCTGATGATGTGCTGCTGCGTGATAGGGATACTGATAAGGTGAGAAAGCTGCAGCGGGTGCCGTTGCGTGTGTCACCATGTGTGGCGGAATGTGGGGTGGCAAGGTGCCCACGGGCGGCAACTGCTGTGCCGGCATCGTTTGGGCCAGGGTATGGGCTGCATGGGGCATAGGAGGGATGGGTGGTGCCGTGTGAGGCATTGTCTGCATCGAGGGTACTGTGTGGGGGGGCAAAGGTGCTGGTGCTGTTGGCACCATGTGGGCAGGCATTGTCTGCGCTGGTGGCGGAGGCAAGTGCTGCTGTGCCACCACAGGCTGCGCTGGCATCTGCTGGCTGGGCTGCGACGTCATGACAATGGTGGGAACGGCCTTGCTGAAGGTTCAATTAAAGCCCAAACTTCCCACCAGTAATACCATGAATCGAAAAAAAAGACTTCTCAGCTGAGCTCTTGCATCGGCCCATCCGTCGCACCAACCTTTGCAGTCAACCACCGCATTGCCAGATTGCCACAAAGCGAGTGTTCCCTGAGGCATGCTACCGTTGGCCCGTAGATGATGTGCTGGCCAGGAACGGCCTGCCCGCAAGGCCGCAAGGCGATGTGTTTTTTTTCTATGACGCGGTTCCGAGAAGATCAGGCCAGCCTGCTCAGCTGGTGGTCCGGCGTATGCTTGGACAGGTTGGACGCTGAGAAGTGGTTTCACAGGCCTACAGTCCAGTGCAGAGCAGCCATCACTTTTTGTGCGATGCACAGAGCATGCAATGGCCTTTCCGCTTCAGGGGGGTAGCCGGCATAGGATTGCACGCATGCCTTCGCCGTGAGCTGCGGTTGTCTTATACTTCGATTTTTGGCAATTGACCGCCTGCATTGGCAGAGCTTGCGATAGAACGAGCGGTGCTGGAGGAACCTCAGAAAAGAAGCAACAACTCGCCGCCAGGGAGGGTGAAGAAAGAAGCCAAAGCAGCCTGTGCAGGTGGCATCTGTGGAGGCCTCCCAAGCAACACATCCGCATCATCCCTTCCCCAGGCGTCCAACTGTCCTCTTTCTTGCATCCCGCCACGTATGGTAGCAATGCTCTCTGCATGCCCTGTACAAATACTGGCGTGAGATTCAGCTCGCTGCCCCCGCCACAGCGAGGCCCCATCAGCATCGAGAGCTTTGCGCGTTTTTGAGTCAGGTTGCCAGAAACTCCACGGCACGCTCGAGGCTCCCCTCAGGAGGAACCCAATGTAACGACTCAACGACCTGCCGTGACCTGCTGACCTGCCCTGACCTGCTGTGACACGTGACTGCAACTCCTTGCCTCGGCTTTCAGGAGGATCTCGCAAAGAGCCTCGCGCCCACATCCGGCAAAGCCCATGTCTTCCAGCATTTTCACGGCCAGCAGGGTCTTGTCTTGTGCTTCACCTGCCAAACACGTGCATGCATCGCCACTTGCAGCCCACACTCCAAACATCCACCTCCACTGTCAGGTCCCGGTCCACCGCCACGGCCACCTATCTTTGATGGCTCCAGAGGTGCCATGCAGCCTCGAGTCGCAGCGAAGCGCAGCGAAGCGCCACAGATGCGAATCTGGCTGGAAGCTGAGTCCTCTCAGGAGGGCACGCCGTAGATGAAGGATCAACTGACGCATGCTGTCCCCAAAGAACTGGTGGCAGCGATGACATCTGAGATCCTTGGCATGCCGAGATCCGACGGATCCTTCCAGTTTTGCTCTGACGGCTTCAGCTGGGGCAACGACATGCAGCTGCACTTTGGGTTGCAGCGCGCTCCCATGCTTGACGGACTTCGCCAAATCATCCAAAGGCACAAAAGTCTGCGGACCACCCGTGAATTCCAGATAATGCTGCTGTGTGAGGTCCATCGGATCTGGTGCCAGGAAATCTCTGCTCACGAGGTGAGCGACCATCTGTTTCGAGCTCGTACACCGAGCCACTCGCACTCCGAGTTGAAACTCTAAATCGGGACACTCTTCCTTCAAGAATTGTCCGAGCAGCCTTCCGTAGAGGCCCAATCTGCGCAAGACCCCGGCATCGGCTGGCAACAAGCCCGGAAACTGCAATCGCCGCTTGGTCGAGAGCACCTCTCAGAAAAAAGATCTTCAGGTGCCAAAGCTTCTCGTTCCCAAACTGAGATCCCCACCAGATGAACAGTGCTTTTCGAGCGGGCGACGTACAAGGCGACGAACTCGCTGCTCTGATGGAACACCATTTGGGAGATGCGGCCTTTGCCCTTGCTCTTGCGCTGGATGCCCGAAAGATTCTGGATCCTGGAGGCTGGTTCAAGTGCAGCTCGGCGCCCACATCCCCCCCCTTTGCATCCCAAATCCCTGCAGTCCAGGCGTCACCTCCCAAATCCAGTCGCCACTCTCGGACTCCACCTCCGCATGTACCCCTCTGGGTGGAGAGTACCGGCCAATCCCAGACAGCATCACCTGAAAAAGCCAAAGCGACTGGGGCCTACGGCACAATATGGCACAATGGAGAGTCGGCACCTCTCGGAAAAGATCTTCGGCTCCGATGATGCTCTTCGCATCCTCCGGGTCCAATTCTACGACTTTCCGCGGCGGAACCTCGGAACGCGCGGCCGTGCAGCCGCCACGCCACGAGGAGTGCACGTGATGTGACCCTAATTTAGCCCAGCCAGATCACAGCCGCCAGCGTGGTTCCAGCACTGCGAAGCTCCCCTGTCACAAAAGTCGGCACAGACTGGGACCTCAAGACTTGCTTCACAACATATCGCTGAGCTCTCCTCCTGGCTTCCTGATCAGTGCGAGTTGGATCTGGGGCACTTCGTGGCAAGGCTGCGGCAGCAGGCCAAAACGTTCCTGTAGCGCAGGCCGCGAGGCGAGAGAAGACAAAAGAAGAGCAGGAGGCAACAGCAACAAAAGCAAAGAGCAGCATGACTCGCTGGATCAGAACAGCTTGAGACAACGCTTTAAACGATCGCCGAGAGAGGCGTTTGTTTCGTCGAGGCTCGAGTTCTGTCCGGAGCGGCTGCGCATCGTCCAGGAGCTCTCTTTGTGGACTTTCGGCTTGGGCTGCGAAGCCTGCACCCTCCTCTTTGTCGGCTCGACACTGCAAGGCCAGGTGAAGATGTTCTATGCCTGAAGGCAGAACATGGTCGCAAAGCCTTCGCAACATTTCGCCCGTTGTGGTAGCGAAATCACTGGGAGAATCCACGATAACGGGGCACAGTCTGGCACCATTTCGGCAAGTCTGCTCCACTAGGCTTGCATCGGGGACCACGTGCAGCCGGAACTTTTGCTTGTCTGGCGGGCGTATCTCCATCTCCTTGCCTTGGGCGTCTGCCTCTGCCGCATCGATGGTCTCGAAGCCTGACACGGCCCGCTGTCTGAGGGCTTCGCGGATACAGTGGGTTCAGCTCGAGGGATCTAAAGTCGGGTGCCACGGCTGCTGCAGTGCCAACCCCGACTTGCATCATTTGTTGGAAAGCACGCTGCGAAACCAATCCTGTCCTTTCGATTCAAGCTCCTCGGAATGCCCGGTCTGCCAACGTAGGCTACAACTACGTTGAGGCATGAACCGTTCCTTGGGGCAGAGTATGGAAGCAGTGTCATACCGCGGTGGCGCCTTGAGACTAACAAGATGTGTAGACTCCAGAGCACAATGCGTGACGAGCAGCAGCTCAGAACTCTGACTGTTCTGACTTCACACATTTCCTATAACTGTTCATTCAGTGGTGGTGTTGCTGAAACTCTTTCTAGCTAACTAACAGGGGGGTCTAGTCGCTGCTTCTGTGTGTCTCGCTAGTTGCGGAGACGGACAGCTACTGGTAGTTGTCTCTTTGGTTAGATAGCCTCTTTTGCCAGGTACCAGGCAGTTGGTTGGCTAGTGAGTAACCAGCGCTCTTTGCGTCTGCCTTCCAGGGCCCAGAAGCGGAAGGTCAGGTTGGTGCGCTCGCGGTGGATTCCCTCCATAGCCGGGACGGCATGCAGCCAATGTCTCTGAGAGTTCTTGCCCATCACCACCAAGGACCCATGAAAGAGAGGCAAGCTTAGATGGATGATTCCAGCAGTCTCCTGGTCACGGCCCTTCCAGGCCCTCTTGCTCTTGAAGCAGAAGGGCCGTGTGGCGCCAAGCGACAAGGACCCGATGATGGGATCGGGCCCGAGGCCCTCGTTGCCGTCCGTGTGCCAGTGGATCGTGACGGTACCGTCGCGGTAGTGGTTGAACCAGATGGCATTAAAGACCGCCTCGCTGGCCCCTTCGACCCTGCGTAGCAGGGACCTAGTCCAGGGCTCCATCTTTTGGGAAACATAAGTTGCAGCTGCATCCTTAGAGCTGTCGTACTGGATCCCGAAATTGAAATCATCGCAAATGCGAGCCTGCCCCTTCCGGTTCACAGTTTCCTGCACAACCCCGCTGGGCGTCTGGAAGAAATACGTTGGATGATACATGGTGATCCGATCCTGAACCGTGCCCTCTAGCTGATCTGCCTCACCATTATCCAGAAAATGGGGATACCAAAGAATCTCGGTGTTCCAGGGAAGGCGGAGTCTGTAGGCCTTGCCGTCACGAAGTCGATCCTCCCACTCTGCCATGGAGAGCTCCTCCCAATGGAGAGTCGGCAAAGATGCGGCTTGCAGCTCGGCGACCCGCGCAGCCACCGCATCCTCCTTCTCCTTCTCGCGCAATTTTGCACGACGCCACCCGGAGGCGAGTCCTTCGGCTTGGCTCCTCTCCCTTTGCCTCTTGCCTTCTTCCAACAAGCGTCGCTGGTAGAAAAAGTCAACCCAGCGCTTGTACAGAGAATTGGCCTCCTCGTGCCCGACCACTCGAAGTGCTCGGTGATCTTCCCACATGAGATGCTGGATTTGGCATCCGCTCGGAAGAAGATGGCAGAGCTGCAAGCGGTGGCATTTCTGAGGTTCGTGCAGATGACCAAAGATGCAGATAGGGCCGAAGGGTGCCGAGGCCAGCAGCCCCTTCAACAAACGCTGAATGTCTTCGGCTTCAGCTCCCTCTACCACCTCCTCTCCCAGTCGGTCGCCCCAGTACTCGTATCCTGAAGCGAAAAAGGAAAGAGCACGGGGGCGTCCGGGTAAGGTGATTACTGGGCGATCCCGGCCCGAAAAGTTGCCAAGTTGCTGACACCGATGCTCAAGAGTGCTTTGGTAAAGTCCTTCCCACGGAACAGCTGCTCTTCCCGTCCGGCACGTGGGTTGCCACCTCGATTGCTCCAGATCCAATGCATCCTCTCGAAGAGAAGAGAACTGAGCAGCCGACGCACGTCCACCAACAGCTTCACGTCCAACGAGGACAGCTGCCAGAGGTAGACCTGCCCGGGCCCCTCCCCGGCAGGCGGCTCGGGTCCCAATGCTCCCAATGCTCAGCCTCGCGGCTCACGCGCCAGGTCCCGAGCGTGTAGACCTGCAGCACGCACTCCATGCTCCAGACCAGTCTTCACCCAAGGAGTGCGAAGAGGCAAGAAGGGCCAGGGCCTGCCGTGAGTTTCCGCCATCAGCTGGGGCCACAGGGACGCCTTGGAAGATGCACATGAAAGCAAAATTGACGCGCTGCGGCTGCACCCTACACATGCTTCCCTTCCCGTCTTCACAATTGCGAGCAACCTGGCTTCCGGCACCAGCGAGTCCGCTTCTCTGGAGCCGTATCTCGATGGGCACAAGTGTGAGGGGGGAAGTCTTCATCTGGAACAGCCCAAGCTGCAGGCCTGAGGCCTGGCATGACTGGCACGTCTGCTCAGCCATGGCATGACGAAAACCAAAGCCACGGCAGTGCTACACTCTGGATCCTAGATTGTCCGAAAGCTTGGCTGCTACGCAGCTTGCTGGGTGTGGCTATGACTGCAGCAGCATTTCTGGTTGGTGGGCCATTCAGGCTCTGAGGCACAAGACCGCATGTAACATTCACCAGCATCAAGCTTGAAAACGCTATATTAAAAGGGAAGGCATCAGCATAAAACAAGGCAATGGCAACACGAGCACATGAGCATCCAACATGAGCCCGTCTGTCACCTACTATGCGAGCTTCTCAGAGCGGGCGTTGGGGTAGCTATCAAGGTCATAGTCCGACGTTGAAGTGCCCTAAGCACCTCTTCATTCCGAATTGGCGGCTCATTCCGGGACGGCGGTGGCAGAAGGGCCAGCTCATAGCCGCGCGACCGCAGCAAGCGGATGAGGGAAGCCGGGTCGTAACCTTCTCTCCGAAATCCGGGTGCCCAAACGGCCAGACCAATCGCCTTGACCCTTGTCGGCCGCAGTTTTTCGCCCAAAGACTTCAATACCGTCTCTTCTCGGCCATCCACGTGAACCCGAAGCAAGTCCACGGTTTCGAAAGCACTCCCGTTTGTGGAAGCCAAAATGTCCTCCAAACGTGTTGCCTGGCAGCTCGGAGCATCGGCGTCTTTCGCGTCTGCCTGAACGATCTCCCAGTCGGGATTCTTGGTGTTGAAAACGTTGCTTAGAGTCGACGCGGCATGCACTCTGCTTGTCTGAGATGAACGTCTGACGGACAACCAGGCGAGGCGCATCCAAAACGTACCCAGGCTAAGAGGAGTAGTGACAGGAGCCCAGACGCGGCAGTCCAAACGGTCCAGCAGCGCGAAAACCAGGTGCGCCTCACTGAACATGAAGTGGTCCAGAAGCCTCAAGGGCCGCTTTGTGCCCTTGATAGATGGCCTTTGGATCATGCAGTCAAGATTGGCCTGGGCCGAAGCAAGTAGTTGCCGGATTTGCAAGCCTGCAGCATCATCCCAGGTAGGGCTAGCCTGAAATCTAAGGCTGTCAATCTGCATTATATCTGACAAGACCAGCGGGAGCGTGCATGGTCCGATGGGATCGGGAAGACTCAAATCCATCGGCCCGTCGGACGTTACTTGCGTTTTCAATGCTCTCCACCAACCACGATAATGGATCGACAAGTGCTGCCGTTTCAGCTCTCCGCCCAGCAAAGGTGAAGCTCTGTACAAGGCCTTGACGAAACTCGCCGCACGGAAAAATGGTGCCGAGGACCAGTGCGATGGGTCGAAATGTTGAAGGAAACCTCCGCCTGTCATGAGCCGCAGCAGGTGACTTTCGCCCATCCGCACCCATTGCTTGGTCTCCGCTACATGCAAGAGCCAATGCGAAGTGTTGGTTAAGTTGAGAGGTCGATGCACTCGACGGAGTCTGGGCACGAAGCGGTTCAGTATTTCGGCGGCTTCGGCTAAAACTGCTGTGCCCGTCAAATCTGGGCATAACCTGTACTGTCGCAAAGCTGCAACGCTGGAGATCGAAGGAGGGCGTTCCCAAATTCCCCTCCACGGCATCCGCTCGTTCAGCTGGCCACGTGTCCAAGAACACGGAGCAGGCTGCATCCCATGATTAACTAGCTCAAAACATTGCACTTTGCAAGACAACTGAAACGATCCGGCAGCCAAAGGGCAGCTCTTGACACACACACATGACACGTGCATGCAAAGGCACCCTCTCCCAGAAAAATCCGGGAATATCCTATCGTGTTCCCGGCTTCTGCGCGGCCCGCATGTTGCAGAACACTGCAAAGCCGCACTCTGCCTCAAGTCCAGCGGGTGGAACATGGCCCCGGCCATTGGCGTACCCTCCTGGCCCGGGTTGGGGAGAGTGCTGCGCCGCCACGGCACAGCCGAACGATGAACGACACGACTCGGCCTTCTTCTTGATCTTCTTCTTGTTCTTTCGCTTCCTCTTCTCGTGCTCGTAATGGCAGAACTCACAGTTGTACCTGAACCAGAACGTTCTTACCCCGCAAGGGTCAGACACGCACAGATTGCAAGTGCATGCGCGCCCATTTGTGCAGCGTCCACGCGGGAAGAAGCAGCACCTGCATGTTTTGAAGCTTCAAAAACAACAGCACTGAGCTACGACAGCAATCCACAGCATCCATTATCGTGTTGCCTCAGCTCTGTCTAGCTTAGCAGCACATCGAACCAAGCTGATGCTGGTGTGCCTCTTGCAGCCGCCCTCATCATGGCCCTGGCAGATTCGCCGGGTGCTTTGCCGGCGTGGACACGTGGGTGGTGAGTCCTCCGAGCCCAGTGATGGATGTATGGCTCCAGCCGGAGCCCTCGGCGCGTCCTCATGTCAAACGTAAACGCACAGAGACGGTTGACCGCTCGCTATCTCACAGCGCTTCCTCGGGATTGCGAAGGTGCACTGGGACCACTTGGTCGGATCCGGAATCATCGTCCTGCAGCATGCACGAGGCAAGAGCACTTCATGCCACATTTCATTTCCCGAACCTCATCGTCATCCAGCGGCTCTACCTGCTGCGTGGCCTCTGTGGTGCACCTCAGGAGTTCACTGCGGCTGTGACGGACCCTGACGATCGGCCTTCCAAGACTCCTGCGTAGTGCTCGAAATGGCCAAAGCTCTCGTGGGCGAAGGTGCAGCAATAACACAAGCCTGCAGACCAAGCATAGTGCCAAAGCACCGGAGCTAGCAATGCTCCTTCGCAGTGTGGCTGCAAACGTGAGGATGAACTCCCGCAACTACCCAACTCCGAGGACTGCGCCGGGATGGCTGTCGTTCCTCCCACATGACCTGCAGACCTTTGAAGGAGAGCTTACGAAGCCGCGCCATGACTGCCGGCGGGCACGCGCTCTCGGGCCACTCGGGCCGAGGCTTTGCCCATTTAGCACCCGATGGGGAAGGAGTCACAGGAGTCGCAACAGGCGATTGTACCACACGCCGATGGATCACCTGAAGCTGAAGCCCTTGTAAGGCCCACTGGGAACAACTCTACATGAGGAGCCGGCAGCTGCGGGCGAGATGGGTAGCAAACCACCCTGGTGCAGCCAGAAGCTCACATGACATGCGGACGGCGAGGGCACGGCGAGCAAGCCGTCTGCAACAACTGAGCCTGTGGACTGCTGGTAACGGATGCCAGTGTCCTGCAGCAGCAATGGTCCGATCCACTTGGCCCACTTGGGCCCAGTGCCCAAAAGAAAATGGTTTGTGGACAGCCGGGGCATTGGAGACTCGGTAGCACCTCTGCAGGAAGCCCGGTGCATGGTTCAGGTCAGCTGGCGCGGTGAGAAGTGGATTGTACCTCCACATTGGCGTTCAGTAGGCATGATCCCTGGGACAGCAGCTCAGGGCTGTTTCGCACGGGGTGTCCAACTTCATGGCTGAGGGCGTCAAGCCTGAGGGAACCTCACAGGGCAACAGCCCGCGAAAGAACGACGCAGGGCCCGAGGGCTCCGGGGCTCCAGCGTCGATGAAGGTATTCTTCACCGGGAGCGGGATGCCGTTGTTCGTGGCACCTAGCCTGGGGAGGCCGAGCGAAGGTCCCTACCAGTTCCTACCTTCACTTCTTCTGGTTTTCCCCCTTTCAATGTGTGGGTCATGGCCAGGGAAAGCCTTGTGATGGGACCGAAGGGTCCTCCTGCTGCTGGTTGCCCTGGCTGAGGGCTCTCATCTGCCAGGGCTTCTCGACCAAATGATGATAAGGACAGCTCCTTACCCACGCAATTGCCACTGCCCTGTCTTTCCTCAAACATGAGCCGTGACAGGTGCGACAGTCCATGTTGAAGTCACATATCGGCGCGCGATTGCCCGCGCAAGTGAGCTACATTCAGCTGTTTCATGTCCGGTCACCTAGTCAGCAACTCTCTACGGTGGCAGAGCATGCGCGAGCTTGGCGCGCGACAACGTTGCCCCTTGGACAGTGGCCTCGACGCCCACGCCAATGCTCCTGGTGCGGCACAGAGTCTCTCAGCAGCATTGGAATCTCCCTCACCAGTTATGCCTCCCGTTGAGGGCGTCATCCGACAACGGCGCCCTTAAAAGCAAGGGAGCGGACCCTGAAGTCTGAGTGGTTGCTTTCTCTGCTTCCCGAGAGGATCGCGGTCTTCTGGCCGGCATGCTGGCCGCCTGAGGCCTGGAGGGCAGGAGCGGATTTGACGCTCGGTCTTAAACATCACTTGGTGTCGCTTAGGCCGGAGCTGGGCTGCAGCAGGGCTGCACGGAACCCGCCGAAGCCAAAGCACTCGCCAGCCAAGAACGGCACGAGGAAGGCTATGGCTGTGGCTATGGACATCTGGAGTTGTGTAAATGTGCAAACTGCTGTCACGCAACATGCTGTCGCAGGAGCGAACCTTTTCAAGCACACCGCCAATATCTGAAGTGCCCGGAGCGCGGCGAAACTGCCCTGTAAATCCCCATGGATTTCCACCGGATAGTCTTTGTCCGTCTCAGAAAGGGTCACGTAGCTTGGGCACTGGGCCAGTGTAGAAAGCAATAGCTGTAGCATGCTATAGCTGTAGACACCGCAGCACTTCCCGGCCTCTCCTCTCCAAGTCTGTATGCAAACGATTGGCACAGTTTGAAACCTGCAGCCTCCGAGGGGAAGCAGCTACCTCACCGACGTCACATTACCAAATACGCTTCAGGCAGTCAGGGAAAACTTCCTCCACTGCCCGACGGCCGTCAAAGCCCCATCAAGGCTCCAAGAGGATCCCGGCCTGCGTGGACTGTGGACTCTGGGCTCTCCCTCTCTTCCTCTCGCTTTCTCCTCACGTTTCAAAGTCAATGTCGCCTTCTCCCTCTCAATATTTTCGTAATACATCAGGAACTTCTCGATCGGACCGAACTTGCTTCGGTTCCATCCGTCCTGACGCTTTGCATCAGAAGCGAGACATCCGACCAAGGATTCCCGTTGTCCCTTGAACCCCGAGCCTCGGTCCGTGCCATCAGCTTATGATTAATGATATTCAGTTCCAGGATGGTCTCTCCAAAGCGATAGAAGCCGCGGTTAATCCTGTCGCAGAAGGGCTCATGCAACATCATGCAAACGGCTGGATCTGTCAAGCCTCTGAAACGGAATCGCTGAACCCGTGCCATTGTAGAACTCTTCCAGGCGGAGGTCAATCGGATCCTCCTGCGACTGAGTGGGTGTCTGAGACTCAGAGAGGAGCGGAGCACCGCAGGCTGCGTCTGCGGGCAAAGGAGTGGCCTGGTCAATGGCTTCGTAGGGCACCGCAGGCTGCGACTGCGAGACTTTCCGAAAGCCGCCGCTGCCGACCTTCCCAGGCATCACAACATGCACACTAGCTAGCTGGCCCGCGCTAACTGGCCGCGGGCCTTTTCTCGCGCTTTGGCCTCCACGGCGAGCTACAATATATGTATGGCGAAGACTAAACTGGAGGCGAAGCGAAGACTCAAGGATCCTTGCCAAGCCTTCTTGGCGAAGCTGGAAGGAAGCTTTATACCCGCCTTGGTAGAACCCTGTGGTGTGTCCTTCCTTTAGCGCTTTCAGCTCTCAGCTCCCGTCCCGGCTAAGAGCCGTTTGGAGCTCCTCGCGGCGCAAGCCGCACGGTGCGCGGGGAGCAGTGGGGAACTTTCGGCTCCCTCCGCCCGGCCTTGATCTCCTGGTCCTTGCCCCTCAAGGCCTCCTCCAACTCGGCGACGCGCTGCTGCAGCGCCTGAAAACCGCGAGTTCGCAGCGCCTCACGTTATTCCCGGCACCCCGCACCTGCTCTCGAGACGGTCCATGTCCCATGGAAGCGTTGGCCGGCACGGTCCTGCACTGCCGAAGCAAGCTGCAGCTCTTCGGAAGCACGGTGTTACACTCCTCATTCCCTGACCCGGTTGCATCATGACTTGAGGTGCCCCGTCCATGGCACCTGGCAGCTTAGCACTGAAGGGTAACAAGACAGGTAGCATCTGAGGCAGGCACCAAGGCTCCCCACCTAGGAAGTCACAAAAAACATCCCAATCCACCGAAAGAGTTGGATGCGCTTTGAGGACTTGGCTGGGCGCTGCAGCTGAAAGCTGCCCTGCCCAGGGCGTACGACATTGGTGGGGGACGCCGGCTGCCCGGGCTGCGGCTGCAACTGCGCGTACCTCCATTTTGTGCTTCACACAAAGCTCCCACTACCAGAGGTGCATCGAGCCGGGGAATGCACGAGCCGGAAAGCGGATTCATCTGAGGCATGGCCTGCAGACATGTCTATGTGCAGTCTGGTACCTGTTCCATACGATAGGATCTGGGTCCCAACATCAGCAGCTACGTGGTATGTAAAGCATGCGACTGCAGGCCGGCCGAGGTCCAAGCTGGCAGCTGGCCGCTGCCGTACGGACCTGACACACGGCATGTCTTTGCACCGGAGTTTTATTCTCAAATCGAGCTCCAAACCCTAAACCCTAAACCCCTAAGCCCTAAACCCCTAAACCCTAAAACCCTAAACCCTAAAACCCTAAACCCGAAATCCTGAACCCCAGGACCGAGAAGGAGAGAGTTTCAAGCGAGCTGAACTTTTTGCCTACTATGAAGACTGGCACTCTCGAGCCCCAGCCGCCGAAGGCTCTCCGCAAGCTTCGTTCACAGGAAGCTCCGGACCACCTCTACGAGCGCCGGGCGAAAGCACACAATCCTACTTCCCGATTCCCGGGCATGAAGGTCCGCGAAGACTTGATAAATGTACCAAAGATACAGAGTGCCATTGTCCCTGACAGCATCGCGAGCAAGGCAACCCGCTGGCCGATTTCCAGGAGCCATCGGCCAAGAGCACGGGGCTGCACTCGGAAGCGGCCTTCGAGCTGTCACCTCGCAGCCTTGCTTCTGAAAATCTCCTCGAGGCCCCAGACAGGCCCTCCAGTTGAAAAAGTTCGCGCATAGCGTATCAGGGCTGCTGCCACATAAGCCGTCTGCATGGGCTCCGGGAACCAGCGCATCGCGAAGGCTGTGGAAGTCCGAGCAATGCGCTCTGCAACCGCAGTCTCTGCCGTTGCCCATCTCACCTTGTCCCGTACATCGGCGACAGAAACATCAGACTTCAGAGGAACGTAATGCTCCCACGGCTGAAGGCCTTCGTGATACCACCATTGTAAATGGGTCTCCGCTCGGAAGGGAGTCAAGTCCAGTGCGAGAGTGAGAACCGTGTTGCGAGCAAACGACCAACCATCTAGAATGGCCCCAAAACGGAAGTCCAGAAAGTCCTTGAGCTGCATACGATCAACCAGCAGCCCGAATGAACCCAAGAGCTCTGCCAGCCGCGGCCATATCTCGAGAGTCCGATGGCGCCCACAGGAGAATTTGCAATCCAAGATATCCGGAAAATCCATGCTCATTGCCACGTACTTCCCCCGCATCTCAATCTGACATGCCCGATGAACCGCTGCCTTTAGGGCGTCCCGGGCTTGCGGGTCAGTAAGGTTGTAGGATGGGAGGAAGGCAATGTGATCCTGCAGGGACTGCGGATCCCCTATCGACCCCCGCCAGACAAGCGCAGCTTTGGAGGAAGTGTAGGGCTTTTCCAAGCGCCGCAGCTCGTTCGTGCGAGCCAGGCTCGCGAGCTGCTTGTCCGAGCCCGGGATCTCTGAAGGAATCAAGACGACACCCTCCCTTACGAAGGGCAGGGCAGAGAAGCAGAAAATCGGGGGAAAGCTGAGCCCTGGGAAGTCGTGCATGCGCCGAAGCAGGGCTTCTGGCCAAACCGGTGCAGGATGCACCGTGCCAAGATTGTCCGGAAGACCTGACTTCGGTGGTAGATTTCTCAAGGACTGGAGCTCAAAGGAGAAGCCCTGTTCTGGCCATGATGTCGTCGGCACGTTCCACAGGATCACCTTCAGGACTATGTCCAGCATCGACACCCAACGATCGTTGCAAGCACCTCTGTACCTTGGAGCAGGCCTTTCGGGACATCGTCCGCCCAGACCTTCACCAACAGGTCCAGGCATCCACACACGGCACAACTCGGCATTGAGAGTGCTGTTCAACGGGGGGAGTTGCAGTCTTGGCAGTCTTGGCGCTCGTGACTCGTAGATGCCGAAGTCCTGATCCAATCTCCGGCGCATCCACGGGGCGAGGATGCTCTCGACACCAGCTGGCTCGTGCAGGTAAACGCGAAGCTTGCTGAAGCAACACTGCCAGTATCCCCCACATGGCCCAGCCCCAAACTCGGGCCAGCAGAGAAAAGGCATGCCCTTGGCATCTTCCTGGTGGCGATCACAACAGACTTTCAGAAACATCTCGTCGTCGCGCATGGATAGCAACGTGTCCAACTTTCCCCTGCCAGGGAAGGTAGCTGCAAGTTCTGCGAGATTCGTCCTCGCACTTGCGATGCAGTGCAGCTGCAAAGCTGAAAACGAATCTCGAGGCTCCATGCCACAGAGCTTCACAACCAGTGTCAAGCTGCATTACCCAAAACAGAGAGGGCCCGGCAACTTGGACCATCCAATTCCTGTGAGGTACGCATCACGGTGTAACTGTCAACCACTTTGCCACTTCTGGAGCGCCACTTGCAGACGGGCCGGAGCCATGATGTCAAACAAGACTTCCTCTCGTTCTAGGTCCTGTATGGGACATGTAAGCCAAGAGGGGCCGGGCACCATTTTTTCCTAAGTCCGAAAAAGACACACACACACAGAGACACACACTACAGGAAGCCACTAAGCGAGGAGGAGCCGTGCCCCAGCCCAGCCCCCCCCACACCAAGCACACCTCCAGGTCGAACTCCGGGGACCTGTTGGACGATCGGCCGAGCCTTGGCACACAAGGGCCCTCAGGGCCCCCCAGACTTAACACCTCTAGGGCCGCCAGTGTTTGAGGACTTTAGGGTCTACGGTATGGGATGTGGCGGCATAGGAGTGAACTGCCATGCCCCTGCTGCCAGCGCCTTTTTCCGCGAGCGCCAACCACTCAATGCTGAGTCTGAGCAGCTCTCGCTGCGCAAGTGCCAAGGTCTTGCAGCACCTGCCCTTCAAACGACAGGATACGATAGAATGGACCATGTAGTTTCGTTTGCCACGCTCATGGCAAGATGACTGAATCTCTAGCAGTAGCAATGTCCGCATGGGCAAGAGGCCAGCAAGGCTGCTTTGCAGCATGGGGTCTGGCTGTGGCTGTTAAGCCAAGTTTTGGGGCCACACCACCAGCAAATGCGTCCTCCACTGAGTCGCTACTTGCCTGAGATTACAATGCATGCGGACACAAATGTGAGTCGGTGGAAAGGAAAGACTGAGGCAACTGCTGGTGTCGGAGGGCGTTTCGAGATCCTGGCAACCATAGCCAGGCTTAAGCGGCTTGAGTTGTTTTGCATGTTGAATGATCTCTTGAGTCACGAACACAAGCATCTTGCGGTGGCTGCGTGCAAGTGCGAAGACTCAGGACATTCTTCGCAAGCCACACGTTGCACGACTCACTGCCGGAGCAATCGCAGCTAACAAGAGCTGAAGGATAAGACGGCTAAGGCATTGCCTTCGAAATTTCACCAACGCACCCCCGCTGGCCCGAGACTCACGGCCAAGGCACCACCACCGGCCCCACCACCAACAACACCAACACCAACTCCAACACGCACAACACACTGAAGAAGTGTTGTCTGCACTCACGGATGGATGTCCATAAAAGACGTTACAGTAGCGGCTGTTCGGCATGTGATGTAATATCATGTGAAGAGCCGTCATGTGTAACAGCTTGCAGCAACCGTACATGCAAGCACATGCATCTGTGAAGTTGGGGCCACACAGCTCCTAGAAGTGCTACCGGCCCTCGCGCGTGCCGTTTATGGCTCACGCTGCTTATCGCAATGGACTCAGGACTTGTATGCGGGCCTCAATCTCCGGGTGCATAAAAGCCGTGGTTTTCCCCCGCACCCTCGCATTGCCCATGCCCTGTATCAGCTGCACTTCCAGCGGTTTTTGGGGCTTGTTTTAGTGGTCTTTCAGTGGTATTAGAGTAATTTAAAGGCACACCAATATCTGCCCCACCCCTTCCCGCAGCTGTTTTTGTGGTTTCTTTTAGTGGTCTGTCAGTGGTACTCGAGTAATTTATGGTACTAGAGTAATTTAAAGGCACCCCAATGTCTGCCCCACCCCTTCCCGGCACCACTCGCCCTCCCCGGCCCTCCTCGGCACTAGAGGCCGTCATCGGTTGCCCTTTTAGGGGGTTTTGGGCTCGGATCGTTTGGTTCGACACTGCTCTCAGCTGCACTTCCAGCTGTTTTTGGGGCTTGTTAGAGGGTTTTGGGCTCGGCTCGCTTGGGTCGACACTGCTCTCAGCTGCACTTCCCGCTGTTTCTGGGGCTTGTTTTAGTGGTTTTTGGCTTGGTTTTACACGGCTCTCCTATGTTTTTTTTTCTTGGGGGGGTTTGTTTTAGTGGTATTTCTTTCGGAGATAGCTACCGGCAGCACACAATTAGTACAATTAGTATAGCTGGCCACCACGCATGCGGCGGTTGCTTCCAGGCACCTTTTTTTCCCGGCAGTATTCTATATATGTATCTATTCCATTTTCTTCCGTGTCGGGCACCTGCCTTTGCGATAGGTTCTTCTGCAAGCGCTGTAATAGCCCCACTCGGTCCTGGCTTGGTTCGACACTGCTCTCAGCTGCACTTCCAGCCGTTTTTGGGGCTTGCTTTAATGGTCTTTCAGTGGTACTAGAGTAATTTAAAAGCACCCCAATGTCTGCCCCACCCCTTCCCGGCACCACTAGCCCTCCCGGCCCTCCTCGGCACCAGAGGCCGTCGTTGGTTGCCCTTTTAGGGTGTTTTTGGCTTGGTTTAAATTTCTGTCTGCCCTATTCCCGGCACCACGCGGCCCCACTTGGCCCCACTCGCCCTTCCCGGCCCTCCTCGGCACCAGAGGCCGTCGTCGCCCTATCCTCCTCGGCACTAAAGGCCGTAATTTTACGGTGTTTTTGGCTTGGTTCGACATTGCTCTCAGCTGCACTTCCAGCTGTTTTTGGGGCTTGTTTTAGTTGTCTTTCAGTGGTACTAGAGTAGCTTCCAGGCACCTTTTTTTTCCCGGCAGTATTCTATATATGTATCTATTCCATTGTTTTCCGTGTCGGGTACCTGCCTTTGCGATAGGTTCTTCTGCAAGCGCTGTAATAGCCCCACTCCTGGCTTGGTTCGACACTGCTCTCAGCTGCACTTCCAGCCGTTTCTGGGGCTTGTTTTCATGGTCTTTCAGTGGTACTAGAGTGATTTAAAG